TCACCTCCAGGAACTGGGCGGTGATCTTGAACTCTGGGGGGGGGCTTTCCCTGCTGGTTGGCGGTTTCCCGGCGGTTCTGGATGCCGCTGAACAGATGCTGAACGGCCCGCGGGACGATGCCCAGCTCCCCCGGCTGCTCGCTCAGGTCCAGGCCGGTTCCCATGGTGAAGGTCTTCCCCGAGCCCGTCTGGAGACAGGAAGAGGGCTCGTTACCAGGCAACCGGCAGGTCGGCCATTTTGGTTAGGTCATGTGACTAGCTGCTTTCTCAGGTGGAAACTAAACTTTAGCGGTGCAGTGCTCTGAATGTACAGTGGGGGAAATAAGTATTTGAGCCCTTGCTGATTTTGCAGGTTTGCCCACTTACAAAGAATGCTTATTTTTCCTCATCAGACTGTTATCAATTTTTATAAATTCATATGATGTGATTTTCTGGAATTTTCTTTGGGATTCTGTCTTTCACTGTTAGAATGTACATATGATTAAAGTTATAGATCGTGGCATTCTTTGTAAGTGGGCAAACCTGCTAAATCAGCAAGGGGTCAAACACTTATTTCCCCCACTGTATTTTAAATATACATTTAAAAATTATTTGGGTCTGTAAGAGACATGAAAAAGTACAATTCAATTACATAAATTTGATCAAATACTCGACTCGACACCCGAAGTGAATTTCCTACATACGTATGACGTCGAAATGATTTAAAAATATACATAAAATATCAAAATTAAATAAAAATAACTAAGTTAAGTTGGTGTAAAGTTCCTGTATAACTTTATACAGCTTTCTGAAGTGGAAATGAAACTTTAATGTCTATACGAAATCAGAAGAAAAACTATGTCCTAACCCTAACCCTAACCCTAACCCTGACCCTGACCCTAACCCTAACCCTGAACCTAACCCTAACCCTCCAGCCTTCATAATTGTGATAAATAAATATTTTTGGGTTAAACTTGTTTGGACTTATAGTACAAACCTATTTAACATCCACTATTTTAACATAATATTATGGATAGAGTTTTATTCAGAGTTTGCAAGATAGGCCGGGATCGGGTCGGAAGTTCAAAAAGCTGGTTGGGAACATCTCTAATTCACACATCTGAGCAGTTTTGGTTGAATTTCTGAGTCTAAAATGAGAAATCCCTGACATCTCTTTTCCCTGACTGTGGGAAAGAGAGGTGCTTTAGTTTAGGAGGCCCAGATCACCAGACACTCTCGTTAAAAACATAAAAGACGTCTATAGACGTCTTTGGCAGCCAATGAGTTAAACACTTCAAACCCCACACCGTGTCCCTCTAAAGTGGTTAAAGGGGGTAAATAGTGCTGCACCTGTCCGTATGCGAACACGGTGGCGTTGACCCTAACCAAAACCCTGACCCTAACCCTAACCCTGACCCTAACCCTAACCCTAAACCTGACCCTAACCCTAACCCTGACCCTAACCCTAAACCTAACCCTAACCCTGACCCTAAACCTGACCCTAACCATTTTTCAGTCTGTGAGCTAAAGGGCCAATAAAAACCCTTTTTATTGATCATTTCTTTCTCATTTAACATGATTTTAGCTAATAAAATCCTACACCGTGTCCCTCTAAAGTGGTTAAAGGGGATAAATAGTGCTGGAACCTGTCCGTATGCGAACACGGTGGCGTTGACCCTAACCAAAACCCTAACCCTAACCCTGACCCTAAACTTGACCCTAAACCTAACCCTAACCCTGACCCTAAACCTAACCCTAACCCTAACCCTGACCCTAAACCTAACCCTGACCCTAACCCTGACCCTAATCCTAACCCTAACCCTTTTTCAGTCTCTGAGCTAAAGGGCCAATAAAAACCCTTTTTATTGATTATTTCTGCATCATTTATTTCTTTTTCCATCTCTCTTCTAGAAGTAATTTGTTTTCTTGTTATGTGTAACATGATTTTAGCTAATAAAATACGACAGTGTCCCTCTAAAGTGGTTAAAGGGGATAAATAGTGCTGCACCTGTCCGTATGCGAACACGGTGGCGTTGACCCTAACCAAAACCCTAACCCTAACCCTGACCCTAAACTTGACCCTAAACCTAACCCTAACCCTGACCCTAAACCTAACCCTAACC